AAAGAAAGAAAGAAAGAAAGAAAGAGAGAGAGAGAAAGAAAGAAAGAAGGAAAGAAAGAAAGAAAGAAAGAAAGAAAGAAAGAAAGAAAGAAAGAAAGAAAGAAAGAAAGAAAGAGAAAGACAGACAGACAGACCTGATCTTTGGCTGGAGGATAAGGGTGGGAAGACTGGACTTATGCTGAATTCTTCCTAGGCTATTCTTTCACTGGCCACATGGCCAATGGTAAGCCTAGAAAGCTCCCTGCTGGGAGGATCCACACCCACCAGAGCATCCCAGTTGGTGAGTCTCTGGCCCGGCGTATTGGGATGAGCCTGCAGAGCAATGAGCAGAAGGTCCCTGGGGGAATATGAACTGCCCCCATGACTTGCCTTCTCAGTGACAGGTATTTCCTTTTTTTTTTTCTTTTGGTACTGGGGAACAAACTCAGGACCTCGCGCTTGCCAGGAAGGCGGTGTGCCACTGAGCTATATCCCTGGCCCTAGTGACAAGTATTTCTGACAGCCTAGATATAAACCAAAATGTTAGCAGTGATTATCTTTGGATCCTGGGAATATGGATGCTTTGGTTTTCCTGTGCTCTTCTAGATATTTCTAGTTTCTTTCATTGACCTTACTAACATACTTTTGAGTAAGGGGGAAAAAAATCACAGAAAAAAATAGTCTTAAGAAGAGAGAGAGAGAGATACATAGAGGGAGACCAGTAAACTCTGAAGTCTGTCGTACCTAAAGATCACATGGCAGTTTAAAATGGAGAGAGGGTACAAGTGAACTATGGAAATAAAGATTCAGTTTGGACTCTTTTTCCACCCTATTTTTCCCTGAGCTAATTTCATAAATCAAAAGCTGTCAACTATACCCCAGTCAAAAAAAAAAAATAGTTCAAAGTCCCCACTTCATGGGAAGAAACACTAGTATTAAGCACTTTACCACAAGTCCTCATCGAGCAGAATAGGCACAGACTAGTTCCAAAAGGAAGGGCGGTCTTTAGCAACTGGCCAGCGTGGATCTGTGGGGCGGGCGGGGGAGGCAGAGAGTCTGGGAGAGATACAACTGGTTAATATGAGGTTTATTTCAGCCAAGAATCCCCTGACAAGGACAAAAAGGCCTCCCAGATTTGGAGCTCGCAGTCCAGGGAGAGGCCCACATCCCTCAAGGAACAGGAGGCCCTGTGCAGGCAGCACTGAAACTCGACATCAACCCTGTCAGCCACATGGGCTGTGACAGCTCTGTGATGGCTTCCAGTGGCCAGGGCTCCTCGTCCCTCTGCGGAGCAGCTGGGCATGGCGACAGGGTGGGTCCCATTACTCTCCTGACTCCTCCTCCCTTCTGCGAAAGGGCATGCGGTCAGAGTTGAGAGAGAATGCTTTCAGAATGCTTAACCACTAATGACAGCCGCTTGCCCTGAATGACAGGCTGGAGCAGGGCCGGGATTAGCCCGTAAACCAGTGGCAGCTGGGACCACTTTGCATGAATGGCTGCCTCCCCACCCGTGGCCAACCGCCACCCCCACTGCCACCTCCCCCACTGACACACACCCCACACCCATGAACCTTTCCAGAATCTCCCCCTGCCCTGAATCTACAGCTTCCAGGATTTTTCTTGCTCTTGTGTTACCTTTAAAATAAGACGCTCTGAAGGAAGAGAAGGCCTCAATAGTTGAGAACCTCCTCAGCAGCTTCTGCTCCTGGAAGGCACAGCACTTAAGATACGACTGTGTCGTGATTAGGAACTGGCCAACATGCTGAAACCACACACCACGGGCCAAAATAGCACCAGGACACACTTCGGGTGATGGGCTGGAAAGGAGCTGGCCTTCGCCACAGCAGCCTGGCTCCAGCTCTGCCAGTGACTTCAACCTTGGCCTGATCCCCTTCAACATTTGGGGGGCAGGAAGGAGTGATGTCTCCCCCGGCAGTCAGAACAGGGCTGAGTGGCTGGGCCAGTCATGCCAAATTCCAAAAGTGGTTTCATGTCACCTAGTTACAGAAATTCAGCTCTCTTTACAACATGCCCTTCCCAGAATGTTGGTGCGTCTTTACCCAAGAGCCTCTCTTGGGGACCAGAACCACCAAGGAATGTGGATGAAGGCCAGGCCCTACTAGAAGTCTCTCTCCATACTTCTCAAAGAGGTCCCTATGCAGATGAAGTCCCAGGAGGGGTCCTGGCTGTTCCTTGGCATTTATGCTTTGCTATCACACCACTGGCCTCAGTCCTCAGCTGCACGTGGACCCCAGAGCCTTGGATGCCTCAGGACATCTTGCCTTACCCTTCACAAAGGTCACAGAATTGTACCCAACCGCTACTTTCTGGGTGCCAGGTCCTGTATGTGGGCTGGTAACAGAGCAGAAAGAGTCCCTGACCTGCACAAGCTTACAGTTTGGTGGAAATGCTGTGATTGGGGTTTCTGACCCTGCAGTGCTGGTGTGTCAGAGCCGCTTGGCAAGCCTGGCTGACCACTTGGCATTGTCACCTCAAAGCAGCCTGCTTGGCCCTCATCACAGATTTAATAGTTTATGTGGAGTAATTAAATAAAACAAAATCCTGTTTCTTTAGTTTAAAAAAGGAAGCCTTCTTTCACAACAATGTGGACAGACTTAATACAACTGAGCTGTACATTTAAAAGTGGTTAAGATTGTAAATTTCATTTTTTTTTTTCCCCACAATCTGAGCGGGAAAAAAAGAAGCCAGCTCTAGCACTGCACTGGTAAAGTAAGTGAAAACAAAGTGAGTCTAAAAAAGCAATGGCTCAGGGCCGGGGATTTAGCTCAGTGGTTCCAGCACCTGCCTCAAAAGCGCAAGGGCCCGAGTTCGATCCCCAGTACCAAAAAAAAAAAAAAAGTAATGGCTCTCAAGTCAGAAAACAAAATTTTCTTGCAAAATTAAAAAAAATTAAAAATCTGGTACTAGCTCAGATTTTGATATTGCTGAGCCCATCATACACCTTACGTAGAAACTGATTTCAACGAGCAGTTTATTCCTAGAACTCAACAATAACAAAAAGAAATCTAATTAAAAATGAACAAAGGACATATAAAAAATTCTCCGAAGATGATATACAAATGGCCAACAAGCATATGAAGATGCTAAAATTCAACAACCATAGAAATGTAAATAAAAACTACAATGATGTATCAACTCACATCCATTAGGCCAGCTACTATCAAAGGAGCAGAAAGTAACAAGGATCAGCAAGGATGCAGTGAAACTGGAACCCTTGTGCACTGTTGGTAGGAATATTAAACGGTGTAGCCACTAGGGAAAACAGTATGGTGGTTCCTCAAAAAATTGAAATCAGAATTCCCATATGACCCAGTAACCCACTTCTGGTTCTCTGAGATTTCTGCACACCCACGTTCACGGCAGCCCTGTTCACCATGGAAGCAACCCCACCGTGGTCAGAGGAGTGGACACTGAGAATGTGGTGTGTATATATGCAAAGGAAGGAGATTCTGACGAACGCTGCAACGGTGAGCCATGAAGACATGCGAAGCGAAATAAGCCAACCGCCAAAGGGCAAACCCTGGACAATCCCACTACGTGGCATCTGGAGTAATCAAACTCACAGAGTCTTAAAAAGAACAATGGTTTGCAAGGGCCTGCGGGAGGCAATGGCAAAAAAACTTGGAGAT